AGCTCATGCTCAATGCTGTTGCTCTCCACGCCATCCTGGATGTTGACGAATTCCTGTTCTCGTGCCTGACTCCAATCAAAATCCAGCACGTCATGCACTCTTTGGAGCCGATGCACGTCAACTACAGCCGCAAGCGCAGCCAATGCGAGACACTAGCACATTTTGCCTTCGTCTCAGCGGCGGTGGTGCTGGCCTACTTCCTCTTAGTAGGACCCCTGACTGATTCAATGCTGGCTGTCAAGAGGGAGCTTTGCGGTGGTAATCAGTCCTTCGTCGTCTCGTACAACCGCAACACGCAGGTGACGCATGGTTTTGCCACTGCAAACGCTGGCGCGCGGGATGATGGCCAGCTTTCAGTCAGCGAGCTGGCTGTGAAGAAGCACATCGGCATCTCACCTGAGACGACCCCAGGGGAAATACCAGACTATATCCTCTTCTCAGGCAGCAGAGCAGCATTCGACACGGACCGTCAGCGGGACATGACCGAACAGGCAGCAGCATACCCTTTCTGCATTGAGACCCAGCTGCTGAAAGAGGGCGCCCTGCTGAATGGTGATGCTGAAATGCAGCCAGTTGCAAAGATACTTCTGAGAAATGCCGGCCTGGCACTCGGCTACGAAATGGCATCAAGTTGCGCCCAGCTTAGCAGTATGTGCAACAGATCTGATGCTGCCTTGCTCCGTTTGGTTTGTGGTGAGACGTGCGGCTGCGTGGATCCTTTGGCCTCTCCCTGGTACAAGGTCCCACGCAGGGCTGCAGTACGGTTTAGGGCTTTGTAGGGGTCCAGGGGTTTAGGGTTTATGGTTTTGGGGTTTAGGGTTTAGGGTTTAGACCCTCAAGGTCACCGCGCAGGGCTGCAGTACCGCCTGCCTCTATGAGGCCGAGGTCCTCTCTGTCAACGTGAGCTGTGAGGATGACGAAACTTAGCCTTTGGGGCTTTAGGGCTTTAAAGGTCTACGATTTGTAGGGTTTCTAGGAGTCCAGACGCTTGTAGTGTCCATGTTGAGATTTGCTGCGATCTTGTAAAGGGATTTAAGCTAAGTAACCATACACGGATCTATAGTAAGTAATATGGGTTCTTTATTATATGGTAGCTTAACTTTAATCCCTTAACAAGAACCCACTAGCTCTCCAATACCCAACCCTTTAAACTGTTGGGTGCTTGTAAATTCGTAGAAATCTGAAAGTTAAATCTATTCTTTTCGTGTCTTGTGGGGAAGTAAGGAGACAGGGAGGCATTGGAAGGAGTTCTGGAACTTGTATGAAGAGGCGGTGTCTGGACACTACGGAGATGAAGTGACTCAGACATCACTCTGGTACACGGTGAATCAAACCATCCAGGGCATGTTGTCGCAAGGTTGTGCCTATCTCCATACGGAGCCCCAGGACTTTGTGACCGGCGCGACTTGGTGCGAAGGGATGCCAGACTTGTTCAAGCCTCTGGCCAGCATCTGTCCACAGACCTGTGGCTGCAGTGATTTCACCGATGTTCTCCCGAGCTATTGCCCGTCCAGCTGCAACCCCTAAAGTTTTGTGACACCTTCCCGCTCGTCTGACCCGGGCTGGCCCGGGATGGGAATTTAAGACATAATTTTTTTCGGCATGTCGGGCTGGAGCAGATCTTGCTTCACAGTTTCCGGCGGCTCCTGGCCTTTTGTACACCTCCTGGGCCTACTGATTTTCAGAGCCATTCAGCTCAATTGCGCCTCTGCCGAGAATCGGCACGCTTATATCAAGCAATACATCTTCTTTTGGAAGGGAAGTTCTTTCAGGCTGGCATCTGGGAGAGTTGTGGGGTACGGACATGTACAGACTTGAAATCCCCACGGACCTTGGAGTCGTCGCAAAAGTGCATGAGACGTCCGACTCATCATAAGCCATACAGCACTTGCACCAGGCGACCAGCAGGATACTGCTGGCGGTTTGAACTTACAGTACTAGCCTATAACGCCACAATAGCATAAGAAATTACATTACGAAGTAACTATGATACCAGAATCGTATAATTCTAACATGCTATAATACTATAGCACTATAACGCCATAATACCACGACAACTTAATGCTAAAATGCTATAATACTGCAGCACTATAACACTGGAATGCCACCATAGTATAATACTAAAATGCTATAGTCCTATAACACTAGAACACACTAATACCATCGGAGTCATGGTGACAGACAGGGTCCAAAATCGCGAGGATGCACCGACACCCGCTGCTTCTTCGGGCTCCCACAGTCTTTGTTGACCCCCCGGTCATGTCAGTTCTATGCAGTGCCGAGGTCAGTGGCTAAAGCCTCGTGGTCCTTTGTAGGGGTCGTGTTCCTTGGTGCTTTGCGGTTCGCCGGGTGTAGGTTTGAGACTCTGACAGCGCCATGGGCTGTGCCACGTCCGCGGCTGCCAAGCCCGAACAGAAGGTTGTGAAGCAGCGCCGAAGGCGGGAACCCGATGAGAGTCCATGTAGACTCGTGTAGATGTGAGTGCGTCCTTCCTGCAGCGTATCCTTATCCCGAAACCCTAAACCCTAAACCCGAAACCCTAAACCCTAAGTATCTCGAGAGACGCTTTTAAATCCTGAACCGCGAAGCTCCAATGCTAGTGGAAGCGGTAAGCTCCTAGAACCCTGGTCGCTGTTCTCATCAACAAAGGGCTCCAGACAAAAATCTGCTTGGTCTCCGCGGTCGGGGCTTAGTTTAGGGTTTAGGGATGTTTAGGGTTTAGGGTCCTGTAAGGGCAGTATAAGTACATGTCCTTAGGGTCGAGAACAGCCCATACATGAAACCGAGACCCTAATCGCTGAACTCCCGATTTCTTTACACCCCTGGGAGGGGGAATAAGAACTTTTGATAAGCAACGTGGATACTAAGCTTCAAGCTCCGAAACCCTGAAACTCTTGACACCCTGAACCCTAAACCCTGAGCCGTAAGCCCCACACCCTCAGAGTGAGGGTCCGAACAAGGAGCTCAAACCATCACAAGGCTGAACCTCAAAGCCTTGACGTACCTATAGGTCTAGTTGTAGTATAAGGTTGTTATAGTATAAGAGTATTCTAGTTTTATAGTATTCTCGTAGTCTGGTTTTCTGGTACTCTAGTATCATAGTATTATAATACTCGAGTATCATAGTATTATGGCCTTAGCGTAGGCTCCCAACCCCTAAAAACCATAAACCCTAAACCC